CTGTTTTTCTCAGACGCGGAGGGATACTGACTTGTTGTGAAAAGTAACTTACAATTCTACCCGTGGTATACGCTCAGTATATCACGGCTAAGAACCAATCAGATTGCTTGATTTGACTTGTCCGTTTTATAAATATATAGATATATATATATATATATCTATATATATATATAGATATATATAAACAACAATATTTGCTACATCCGTGCTCTCATCCAGCTTCAGAGCGAAATATTCACTAGCTCTCATTTGCTCCAAAAGCTGAGCAGAAACTCAGTCTCACTCTCAGTAGCGGCAGCTCGACTCTGATTGGCTTGAAGGGCGGTCGTGTGATTTAAAAAAAATATATGAATAAATGAAAAACATTAAAAGATTGGCATCAAAACACACATAGATTAATAGATATGCAGTTATTAATTAAATCTACAAAAATAAAAAATTCCCCTTTCATTCAAACTTTGCGTGACCCCCCCTGGCGGCCCCCCGGGGGATCGGGGCCCCCACTTTGAAAAACACTGCCCTAGAGGATCTGAGGTCCACCCCCACTTAAAACCTGTTCACATGGATAGGTTACCAGATTCTTTTAAATAGTAACCTATGTCCCGAGAAAAAAAAAAAACTGGTAGGGGCCTGGCTGGGTGTATTATTCCCTGCCTGACTTATTGTCCCAGTCCGGCACTGATGGCAGTGTTAGAGCCAATTCCAAATAAAGAAAAAACCAACACAACCTGCAGATGTTTCACATTACAGGTGTACCAGGAAAGAGAAAAGCTTTCAATGAGAAATGCTTTTGACTGTCCCTGATCGTAACCGTATAAATAAAAAAGCCAAGTAGAAGTAAATTGAATTAATTGCCAAGTGAGAACAGTGGAGGTGATGATTCCCCTATTGGCTACGTTTGCAAACAAATACTTACTTCACTTTCACAAGCCAGACTCAAACAAATGCCTTGTTCTCTCTGCAGCTGAGCTGAGTTTTTGCTAGTTGGCATGGCTGAATATTAATCAGTTACCTGAGGTTCTCTCCTCCTTCACTACACTCCTGGTTGAGTTTGTCTGGCAGGCCGGATACGAAGCTCTTGAGATGTGAATACTCCAGAGCTCTCCATGCTTCCTCATCAGAGTAGTTGTCAAAAGGATCCAGGTTCATCCTCAGGGAGCCTGAAAACAGCACTGGGTCCTGTGAAGAGGGGGAGGGATTTAAGTCTATGCACCATCCCATTTAGGAAAAGTGCATGCATTCAGCCAGGCTGTCTTTTCATTCCACGCATCCCATCAATGGAATTCAATACCACAACCAATAAGAGAATCCTCATCCTACTACACATTCAAGCACAGTGTTAAAAAGTGGCTCATTAATAATCAACAGTGTCAGCACTGATGTGTGGGTGTAGGTGCGTATTGTGAATGTTTTCTTTATTATCATGACTTGATCCTTACCTGTATTCAGTGATGTCTTCTATTGTAAATATGTAAATTTTTTGGTATAACAATGTAGTGGTATTTTAATTCTTACTTGTAGGATGCCAATCACCATCTGGCAAAGGGACTATCGGTGAAAACTAGCCTTCTGGCTAATTCGAGTACTTTTACATGTTTTTAATATGTTCATTAATGTACACTGTCCCTTGTTTTAAATCAATCAATTCAACCAACTGTTTTGTTATCAAGATTTCTCAGATGAGGGAGACCACAATTCTCGCCCCTTTCCTTGGAAGGTTGCTATAAAGGCCTCAAAGCTACACTTCCCACAATGTGATTAAATAAATCATGTGTCAAAAGACAGACCTAAAAGGAAGTGTCCCCTTTGAATTAGGACAATGTATTTTTCTTTTGCTTGGAAAAATTATATTCAGTTTACTTTGGGCCAGCATTGATTTTCAAACCCTTGCAGAAAATTCAAATTGAAATCCAAACCTCTTGTGTCCTCTCTGCACTGACCTGTGGTATGATGGTGATTCTAGAGCGAAGCTCATGGAGGCCCAGCTGAGCAATGTCAACCCCATCAATAAAGATGTGGCCCTCCGCTGCCTCGATGATACGGAACAATCCCAGCATTAGGGAGGATTTCCCCGCTCCAGTGCGCCCTACAATCCCCACCTTGTCGAAAGACGTAACAGCAAAGGTTACTGGCCGGAGACACTGTTCACATGCATAACTCAACACAGAGAAAATGCAAATAAAAATCTTATACTGTCCAACACTATTCGTCATATCACCCAAGTACAGTGACATTCTATCAAACACGACCCCTGAATTCACCCACAATCAATATGAGCATTGTGAGTGGCCCCCTGCTGTCAGTTTAGTGATGTAAAGCACACCTTCTCTCCGCTGCTGATGTTGATGGTGATGTTGCGAATGGCGAGGTCCAGATCTTGGCGGTAACGCAGGCAGAGGCCCCTCATGTCAATGCAGCCCTCAGTGGGCCACCCCGGGGGGAGGCTGGAGGTCTCTTGTTCCCACTCTGCCTAGTGGTCAGAGGACAGACATGTTAAATATGTAGGTATGTATTTTATATATATATAAACACACGCACACATATACAGTGGGGCAAAAAAGTATTTAGTCAGCCACCAATTGACCTTTCGCAAAGCCATGCCCCTAAATGCCCGTTGTCCAATCATATTCGATCACGTGCGCGGCTCCCTGTGGAAGTCCGACAAGCTTAGCGTTCAAATTCATTGCGAAAATGGTGAAGCGTTGTGCTTATGGTCTTTGGAAATCGGATAGCAGATATCCCATAAGCTTAGAGGGGAGGGGTGATAGTTTACCCGTTTCCTAAACCCAAAACCCGAGAGGAGAGATGCCGCCAGTGGATAAAGAAATGCGGCAGGCCCCATGCCCAGCTGAATATGGCGAATATCAACAAACACAAATACGTTTGCTCCAAGGTAAATACGTGCTAACGTAGCTAGCTAGCTAGCAAAGATTACATTCACAAATTAACTAACTAATTTAATTAACTAATTTCACTAAC